TGTGTGTGTGTGTGTGTGTGTGTGTGTGTGTGTGTGTGTGTGTGTGTGTGTGTGTGTGTGTGTGTAGTGCAGGGAACTACTTCGCTGCGTGCGTAAACTTTGATTGAGGGCAGCGTTGCCCTCGAATGTGTCCTTCTAACTGCCAGGCCAGATACATTCATGAGCAACAACAATTTCGAGGAGACAACACGGCCTGGATCCGGTTTCCTGCCCTCCAACCAAGTTTCCGCCCTGTATGGAGGGCAGTGTTACCCCAAATGTATCCTACGCTACTATCAGGTCGCATACAGTCATTATTTAACAGTGTCAGAAGCACGGCAAAAGACAACAGTTACTATGTATGTCTGGAACAACAATTTCGTCAAAACGGACATTTTATATTTTTTGAACGAAATTTAAATTGTCATTTCCGTGGTGATTTAGGGTCAAAAATGCATTTGAATTTGGGGTATGGGTATACATGCAAGGGTAAGGGGTAAGGGGTAAGGGGTTTGGGGGTAAGGGATAAGGCGTAAAAGACAAGGGGTAAGGGGCAGGAACTTGGAGCAATGGTTGTAAGGGATAAGGGGTAAAAGACAAGGGGTAAGGGGCAGGAACTTGGAGCAATGGTTGTCATCTTTTATACATTGTTTCCATGACAAACAAATTATACATTGTTTCCATGACAAACAATTTAATGTTACCCACATCCATCCGCATGTAATCACAATATCCAGCAGCAGGTTCATACTACTCGTGAGCCACTGTGTCCAAAGCCATTCGACGACGTATTGCGGGTATGTCATCAGCGGTGAAAGAGAAAGGCGGAAGGTGACCCCTTGCCAATAGCGATGCGTATGCGAGCATGAAGACCCCACACGAGCTAGTGTCACGTTGTTTCGGGACGCCCTCTACGGTCTATATGTGATTAAACGGTTTCGTGTCCACCTCTTTGCCTTGCTGAATCGTTCTTTTAAACAAAAACTTTGCAAATCCGCCGGTCACTTTGGCTGCCAGTTCTTTGTCGGGGCTGAGGGAGTCGTAAAATTCAAATTTCCTCTTCCTGAAGTCAGCCACAACGAGGGTCCAGTGGTTCGTGTGTGCGATATGGAAAGGGGCAATTATCAAGTCCATGTCACTTATTATAATGTCATTCAACCAGTGCTGCACCTCTCGCTCTTGATATCTCATTTCGCTGTCGAAAAGTCTGGCGAAGAAAAACGAGCTCAACACTGATATTCTAGGAATGCGACCCTTTCCGATTCTAATCACGGTTTCGTTTTCGGCATCGCATTCTATGTGTGTGATTCTACACCAGTTGTCTAGTGCGATGAGGTTCAGGTAGAAGTTGACGACGTTGTCATTTAACCAGTTTCGCTCGTCCACTAGTAAAATAAATTCGTCTCGAGTTAGCTTCAGTACTTCGTTCGTCCGATGATTGTGTGTGCTCGCTATTGGGAACCTATTCCCGTACTCCCGGCATACATGTGAGAGTGCTTTCATCTCCTTCTCTGATAAAGACGATGTTGCGAGGTGCATTGTCCACCCTCTTTTGCACTTTCTTGTATCCGTTGTTGTAATTTGCACTGCACACGACAAACACGACGAATACGACATCGACGGCGGTGTAAACAACGGTGATCGAGGCGGACAGGGGTGTAAAAAATGGTCGCCCTTACAGGAAAGTAAGAAACGGGTGGGCAGGCGGTGTAAAAAACGGGGAGGGCGACCATTGAGATACTTGTACATGGGCAAGTGCCTTAGCATAACATGCTAAACGGAAATGATGTATTCAAGATACGTCATCAATGTTTCGCTAAACTTACACTTAGATGAACGACGACACTTCGGGACCAATCAATCCCGACTCCTGCCCCCTTTCATCACCGTACTCCAACGGCATACATGCATATACACAACGCAGCATATTGAGGAATATAGAGAGACACACACGCATACTACGACACACTATTGTTCACCCCACAATTTTCTTGTCAACAATTAAAAGGCCAAATCCCAGAAATTGAACACTAACGAGTCTGCAGGTCAATTGTACACAGGAACAAATTCCGCCCACAAACCCAGATTCCAAACAAATGAGCACACACACGAAAACATTAAATTTCCCCGCGAAGAGGATTCCCCTCAAGTTCATTCCCTGTCTCACCCCTCATTTTCTGCACGCGTGGGATCGCTCATGCCCTTTTCGCCTTCTACCCCATCCTCATCGTCCGTCGTCATGTCCTCAATATTGCGAGAACGTGGAGATCCCCCTGCATTTCCCCCATTTCCGTCATCCCCTGTGACCCCTCCCTGTGGTGTTGTTGTATAGTGTGCGTCACCTTTGCTAGTGCATGTGGGCGGATGCAACGACATCCCCGTGACGCCCATCCCAGCAGTGGACTCTGACACCATCTCCGATGTGCCTGCCAGCGCCGCACCTATCGCGAGGAGACTCCCGTATGTGGCGCCCGCATCCGCCGGCTTGTCGAGTGACACTTTTTCACCTTGTGATGTATCCCCCGTTGCGACAGAGATGGCTCCGATGGTGTTTTTGCCTGCGGGCATGTTCCCCGCCTCTGGCAACGGAGGCTTCACGCCAAACGTCGTCCCGCCATCTTCCCTTTGTTCACCCATCGTGTTCCCTGTGGCCGCCTCGGGCACAGGGGCGGCATCTTCTCGGGAGTCCACGTCCATGCTCTCGAGTGCGGCGGCGCGCTCAACCTTCTAGTCAATCTTGCCGTACGAGGGGCTCGACTGGAGCTCGTAAAACTTGTGTGAGTACTCTAACTGCCGAGTGGCTCCCAAGGCGTCGAACAATTGTTTCGCCTTTGCCGCGATGGATGTTTCACTCTCCCCGGGGTTCTCTTTTCGACAGCAGTATAGTATTGATTGCTCCGTCGTCTTCAGCCAGTTGTCCTTTACCATGCGGGGAAACGGTCTCCAACCCTTCGAGACATACTTCACCGCCATTTTCCACTCCCCGCCTTGGATGCATGGCTCGAAAATGCCGTCATGCCAAATGATATCATGACCCCACTTGTCCTCATTAGTGCAGGCGTATTTGTCATCCAAGAAATACACATTGTTTGCATCCGCACAAAATCTGGGAGGAATCGGATCGCCTGGCGCCAACTTCGTTGGCTGAGCAGGAATATCAAGGTCATCGTCTTCGTCGTCTTCCACAGGCGTGTATACAACCCGGTCCACACCCGAGGCCACACTGTTCGCGGGTGGCAGGTTCGAGCATCCCTCTGATTGACCCGGTCCATATCCCTTGACGCTGTGCTCCATGGCAGCGGACTTCCCACACCACCTGGTTGCATTGGTGTCCTTTTCGATCTCGAAGTCGGAGTCCGACGAGTCTTCCTCGCTGTCAACGGGGTTAAAGCCTTCACCCGATTTAGCGAGGTCTGCATAGTCCTTAAACGTCAGTTTATCTTTGTGAAGATCAAACCTCAAGATCTCGCATCGAGCAACGAATGTCTCGAAGGCGCCAGTTAGAGCACCGTGATAATGTTTGAGGGTCTCGGTCACCTTGGCTTTCCTATATATGTATCCCCCATCAAGATGTCCATCCGGCGCATCGCGGAACAGGTATTCCCACACCTTCAGTCTTTTCGGTGCCAACTTGTGGTACATATCCCTGTTCGTGCGATGTGTGGCACGCGGCTTCTCGAGGCGGCACTCGAATCTCCCATCCTTAACAAGTAGGTCGACGAACTTTGTCAAGTATGCAATGTCCTTGGCCGCGTCGTCACAGACAATGACATTATTACCTGCAAGCAATAACTTCCATACAAGACCCGTGTGCGCCCTATCCAGCAAAAACACACCTTCTGCCTCTCCTACGAATGAACCGCACAACTTCCGCAACTTGCCAGGTTCTCGCTCCCAAATTGAATATGCGGCACTTTCGTCGCCTTCGACGCCACCGT